GTAGAGATAGCTCCTACTGCCAAGCCCAAGGCGACGCTCTGGCTCAAAGACGAATCGAAGGAAGAGATTGCCATCAGCGCCTGGGGCTCGCGGATGGTGAGCGCGGCCAGAGACATGAAGGTAGGCCAGCTGGCTCAGATCGACAACTGCCTCTTGCACAAGAAGCTCGATGGGTCCGTGGAAGGCTCTTGCGAGGACTTCCTGGACTCCGACCGGCACAGCTTCAGCCACCTGACCACAGATGTTGCGGGAGAGCGCGCCGAGCGCTTGCGGCAGCTCGACTGCGACAGGGGCCACGCCATTTCCACGCCGTGGAGCCTGCAGGCCGGCGCGCTGCGAATGAAGACGGACGGCTCGGAGAAGTACGTGTCTTGCGCAGCGACCGTTGCTGCTTGCCCCTTGACTATGCAGGACCGAGCTCCTGGAGCCCCTTGTCTGCAGTTGGGTGACAGCCCTGTAGTGCTAGACTAGAACTCATGCGCTGACAAACCGAAACGAGGCCGCTGTGGAGGTTGTGCTGCATGGCATCTGGGTGACGAACGTGCACGGCAGCCCCAGCTATACACCTTGTAAGCACTGCCGCACCAAAATTGATGCAAGCACACAGGCCTGCAAGAAGAAGGCTGAGGGCTGCGCTTCCACGCCGAATGACGAGGTGGCTGTCCTTGCAACTTTGGACATTGCTGACCACACGGGCTGCTTGGAGCGTGTTCTCGTTGGCGAAGCTGCGCTGTGTGACTTGTCGGCTGCTGAAGATAAGCAGGCACTGCTGCGTATCCTTGACAAAGAGGGGCCCGCGGGGCTGTGCTTTCGAACTCAGCTGGACATTCGCTTGGCCACCAGCTCCAGCATGAACAAGTATCGGCCTGCGACAGACTCTACTGCTGCTACGACCCAACAGGACTCTCAAGACTCCGATAGCAAGGCTTCGAGCACGACAGAGTGTCAGTTCCAGGTCCTGGCGGCGCAGCCGTGCTTGGGAAAGGCCTACGATGCTCATAGCCGCCCCATGATCAAAAAGGTGCTGCGCCTTGCCGGGTCGAGGCCAGAAGGGGCCGTGTATCCGGTTAGCAGCGTGTACACTGACGTGTCCTACTCCGGCATGGGCATCAAGGTCAACGGCGCAGTGATCTTCCCGGCCTTTGTGACCATCCTGGCACGTGCAAAGGACGCAGGCGAGCTGCGTCGATTTGGCGATCAGAGCGACGAGCACGTCTTGATTCAGCACGCCCAAGTTGTGCCTGTCGACGCGGCTGTTGCAGAGGAAGAGTTCTGCGTGGAAGCCATGTGCAGCTTTGCCCAGTGCTTGCAGTACAGCATGTCCGACGGGACTCCCCGGCTACTTCTCGGAGCGCTGACTCGCGAAGACAAAGCGGGTAAGGTCACCATGGTCGTGGAGCGCATGTTTCGTGTCAAGGACGAGGGCCAAGTGGACAACCTTGCTGCTGAGCGCTCCCTGGTCGTGGAGCTGCAGGCTGACTCCGCGCAGACCACGGCGACGAAGCGTCCGGCTGACGCCCTCGTGGCGCAAACTCCCTCCAAGGTCAAAAGCGGACGCTGGGAAATTCGGAAGGAGACCTAGTAGTAGTAGTAGTAGCTTCGAGTCTTTTCTCACACCATTTGAAACGCGACCAGGAAGGCGTGCTCTTTGCGAATCCCGGGCGCTAACTTCATGTTGACAGGCGGCTGTGAAAAAAGCACGAGGGCACACGAGAACTGAAGCGCATGCGGACTGGATGCTGTGCAGGGGCCGTCAGCAGCTTCTGGTGCAAGACTATGGCGCAGCTTGATACCATGTCGGACTGCGCTTTGCCTGCGCCATGCGACGGGTTGGAGGAATGGATAGAGGACCGCCAGCGAGCCGTCGACAGCTGCTTCAAAAAGCGCAGCGCCTGGTCGGACCTGGACTGCCGAGTGTGGCAGCACGACTATAGCTTCAAGAGCATTGAAGCCTGGCCGCTGGATGCCTGCGTCGTGCACTCCGAGAACGCAAGTCAGAATGTGTTGCTGGGAAGCCTCAAAGCTGCCTGCTCCTTGGCGGACATCCACAGCTGGCTCGCAGTGCGCGTCAACGTAGTGGTCACCCTTTGTGGCCGGGAGATGACCGTCCGGGGCGCTCCGCAGGATTGGCGCCAATACTTCGCAGACTTTGGCGCTCGTCATCTCCAAGGACACCTAGAGGACTGGACTGTAAAGCAGCCGCGCAACAGCGCGGACCAGCTCCGGCAGTGTGCTCTGGACTGCTTCACGCATTGGAAGCACCTCTGTTGCCAGCTTTGGAGGTTGGCCAAACTTCACGTCTGCGAAAAGAAAGACATGCAAGTCTTGTTCCATTGCTTTGGCGGCATCAACCGCAGCGCTGGCGCGCTCTGCGCGTGGCTCATTGTAGCCTACGGCTTTTCTGCTGCGAGCGCAATTGATCTCTTGCTCGAGAAGCGCCCTGGCCTTCGTCCATGGCGTCATCGGAGATACGTGCTGTGGGCTCTGTACGCGGTGGAGCAAAGTCGAACTTCTTGGCGGTTAGACTTCGGCGACTGCAAGGACGACCTTGGCGAGCGTGATCTTTGTGACTCCTCCGGTCAGCATAATTACCTCGTGAGTGAGTAGAGACTGAGCGCGCAGGTAGTGATGCACGGCTTGTTGCTGAGTGCAACGAGCAGGCGAATGTTTTCGAAGCTCTGTTGTCTCAGTGGCAGACTGTCTGCAAGTGCGTGACACCCGCCTCGCACGCGACGAGCAACAACAATGCGAGCGAGTCACGAGCGCTCTAGGCTTTTGCTTCTTGCTTGTGCGCAGGCGGAAAACTCCGGCGCGACGCACGCTCGAGTCAAAGTCCGCCACGCGCAGCCTCACGCGCAGCATCATATGCCACAGCATGCGCAGCATCGCGCGCAGCGTCACGCACCGTGCCACGCACACCTTGGCGCGCAGCATGCAGACGAGTGGCCCGGAAGCAACATAGGCGACAGGCGAAGTAATTCTCGAAAAGTTGGTAAGAGAAGCTGCCAGACAACATCAGCACATTGAGCAACCTGCGTGACACGCTTGAGCGCTTGCACTGACTCCACGTTTTGCTCTTCGAGGGAAGCCGAGTGAAGCCGGACAACATCAGCAGATTGAACAACTCACATCAGCAGCTTGAGCATTTGTGCTCATTGCACGATGTTGCACTTGAGTGGAGCCGAGGGAAGCCGAGTGAAGCCGGACAACATCAGCAGATTGAACAACCTACATGACACGCTTGAGCATTTGTGCTGCTTGCACGCTGTTGCACTTGAGTGAAGCCGAGGGAAGCCAAGGGAAGCCGAGTGAAGCCGGACAACATCAGCAGATTGAGCAACCTACATGACACGCTTGTGCGTTTGCATTGAGACCTCGTTATGTAAGTTTCCTGCGCTCCGGTCTCGCTCCGCCCAGGTGGTGGTGGTTTCTCCACGGTGCCTCAGGTGTTGGTTCTCCCCCGCCTCGCCTTCCGCGCCACGCGCCTGGTGGTTGGTTCAAGCTGGCGCGGAGCAATTCTCGCCCTTTGCCGCGTAGAGTTAGCTGCGGAGCAGTTCCTATGTTCCGGCTTGACGCGCGGCGGGGCTCTCAAGCACCTGGGCATGTGGCGCGTGTGATTTATTACTGTGTTATGTTTTAGTCTTGTTTTGTCACACCCACGTCCTGCGCAGCATCGCGCGCAGCATCACACACCGCCGCCACGCACAGCTTCGCGCGCAGCATGCAGCCGCCGTATCTTTTAACATGCGCTTCGCGATCTTCCTCGATGCTGCCACTTTGAAAACATCAGCACATTGAGCAGCCTGCGTGACATGCTTGAGCGCTTAGTGTGGACTCCACGTTTGCCTGTCGAGTGAAGCCGAGGGAAGCCGAGTGAAGCCAGACAACATCAGCAGATTGAACAACCTACATAACATGCTTGAGCAGTTGTGCTGCCTGCACGCTGTTGCACTCGAGTGAAGCCAAGGGAAGCCGAGTGAAGCCGGACAACATCAGCAGATTGAACAACCTCCGTGCCACACTTCTGCATTTGCATTTGTAAGTTGCCTGCATGTCCAGGAGCTTCGCTCCAGTTTCGCTTCGCCCAGGTGGTGGTGGTTTCTCCACGGTGCCTCAGGTGTTGGTTCTCCCCCGCCTCGCCTTCCGCACCACGCGCCTGGTGGTTGGTTCAAGCTAGCGCTAATCAACATCGCGGTAGTTTGCTTGCTGCCTGTTTGTTCATGTTGGAGCCGCCCGAAGCATGGTATGCATCATCGAGATCCACATGCCGAGCCACTCGATCTACACGCGCGACATGATGGTGGGCAAGATCGCGATGAGCAGGGAGAACCTGCACTGAGAAGTGCATGAAATTCCTCAACTTTTAGTACCATATTCGAGCTACTGACAAAAAGCGGAATCTGTCTGTGTGCAGCTTGTCGCGACTAGACTACTTGATCGCTAACAACTAACTTGCCTCCATGCTTCCGGGCCACTCGTCCTCTAGTTATGGTGAGGTTGCTTTGGCTTTTCCCAAGGGTGTTCTTTAAATGGGGCCCTTTGGGCTATTTTGTATGGTGAGGTTGCTTTGGCTTTTCCCCAAGGGTGTTCTTTAAATGGGGCCCATTTTTAATTGTGAGGTGCCAGCATTTGCTGGGGTGATGTTTCAGGGCAACGTAGGGAAGCCTGGTTGGCTGTGGAAACTGGTCTCGGTCTTCGCGATGCCCACAAGGCAATGAAATAACAGGGTTGCACATGCACATTCTAGAACTTAGCGTGCCTACCTAAGCCTTCCCACAGTTTACGGGTGTCACAAGAGCAATTTTGTCCCATTTTGGATACTGCAGATTGCATTCCAGAAATTGCGCAGGGCTCCCTATCCCCCCCTTGAACATCACCACCTGGCACCAAGCAACTTAGCTTCCTTTGGTCCAAGTGATGTTGAAGCTGGCCCTTAAAGGGATATAGATATAGCCCTACAGCCGGACCTCCGATGTTCGCATCGCCAACTCGCGACTTGCCTCGGTCTCTTCGTCGCCACCGAAGGGCGCCAAGCGCTTCAAGGAGCGATGCTTCCAACGGTTCAGCCGCAGCATGATGCGGATGGCCTTCCTCAAACCCGCGACGGTTCTCTCGCGCTTGCCCTCCACCTCCGTGGCGCGCAAACTACCCCCCACCCCCCCGGGCGGCACGCCGGCCGTTTTGGACAAGCGGGGCTTGGGGTTTGGAACATGGAAAAAGTAGTTGGGGTGCTATACGAAGCAAACCCGAATCTTGGGACCCAAAACAAGCCCCTGACGAGGAATTCAGCACCCAACGGAAGCCCCTCTCCCAACAATTAGGGTAAGATCGTGCACATTAGGGGCTGTGTGCATTGACTATCGTTCCCGATTCGATCATCGCCGAAGCATGTGAGCCAGAATCATAGTCAAAACCTGTTCTTGAAATGGTCTACCCAAAACGGATCAAAACCATGTATATAAAGAGTCAAGAAGGAGTCCGCGCACCTTTTTTCCTGGGATTGTCCCTTACTCACCTTCGCTTACCCAGGGCTTTGATTGTGACTCATGCGTAGAACACGGCAGTGCCGTGTTCTGAAAGAAACGAAAACCGACAAGGCTTACTCCACTTGCCGCCAAAGCCACCATGACCTTCCGCAGGTAGGACACAAACTCGATGCCATGTGCGAAGGCTCGGGCCTTCTTCTTGGCGAATTGCAAACGGATCTTTTTGATGACACTCCTCAGCTGCGGTTTCGTTTCAATGTCTCAACCATCTCCACATAGCCTGAACTTCAGCCAGCGTTCCATCAACGAAACATAACAACACCTTCGCTCAAACGTGGATGGAGTCATGAAACCTTACACAACCTTCCTGAAGTACACACCACCCACCAGCTACGCGCTTTTTTCCCTTCTTGTTCGCGGGAAAAAGAAGAAACATCAATTCCTACCAGCCCAAGCCGTGTTTTCTTTTTGGAGAGGAGTCGTTTCGGCCTTACTTGACGCGTTCTTTTTTTTCCCGCTTCGTCTTCGGGTCGTTCGGGTCGTTCGGGTGGGATGGCTCGACTCTTTTCGACTCGTTCGGTGCCGGGGCGCTGGGAGGCTGTGCCGCCCGTGTCCCGGAGCTCCTCCAGGGCCCTCAGCTGCCCGGCCTTGAGAAACAGCCGCGAGGTGCCCAGGGTCCACTGGCTGTCGTCGATCTCCCAGGCCAACATCACCTGGGTCAACGAGTCGCGAGGAGTTTTTGGGGGAAGCCGGCAAAAACGGGATTCACCTGGAGAAAAGCCATTGTCAGGGATCCAAGTGCAGTTTACACCCGGACATTGCCTTGTAAATGGCGATGTCCCTCGATTTTGGTGAAAAAAGCCAGGTTTCATATGGGCAACATGTATCTTTTAAGGAGTCACATCCATATATTTATGGAAGGCAGCCAGGAATCTTGATCCAAGATAGCAACGCCGAGCTCGAATTCCCGATGTCTCCCCAACAGATCTTGAGTCATAGTCAAAACTGATCGGTATTCAAATGGTCGTAACCCCAGAACCGTGTAAATAATTAAGAAGGCGGATATCCGCAGCTATTTATGGTTGGGATTGCCCTTCCTATCCTTCAACGTCCGCACCTCAACAAGTCGCAGTCGCGAAGGCGTTTTTGTGGGTCGCGAGCGAAGGAGTTTTTTGCTGAGCACCAGCTAGGGAGTGTGGCATTAACCTGGAGGAGGGCCATCCAACTGACCTCAACAAACCCAACTGGCGGGTTCCGTTTTGGGAACTTTCAGGTTCCCTCACTCCTTCCTGAGCACCAGCAAGCAAGCAGCTGAGCCACCCTGGAAAGAAAACACATCTCCGAAGTTTGGAGGGTGGCTTCGTGTTAGTTTTTCTGCCCCTGCCCCCCCTTGAATGAATGGGACGGGTTTATGAACCGGTGCAGGGTGGTAGAATCGTGAGATAGAATCAAACCTGGTAAAATGGTCTCTGCAGAGCCATGCTTCAAGAATCAACGCGGCGGACATCCGCACCCATTTTGTGGCAAGGGGAGTGCCCCTTTATTCCCTCCAATTACTGGGTTTTCATTGCGACCCGCCTCGCTTCAATAACACAAAGATTTCCGGGCGTGGACTCCCCAGAAACTGGGCCAGGATTTGTTACGCAAACTGAGGGGAAAGCAACACGCTTGAAGGTGCTCAGCAGGGAATGAGACATGGAATGGGCTTCCTTTGGGGGACATCCCAGTTTTCTTTCCCAACACTCCGGCACTGAGCACCTGCAAGTGCTAGATTCTTGGCAAATCCTGGCAGGTGGCTGCATGCATGAAGTCGCGGTCCGAGTAGTGAGCAAATTCTGGGGGCAAAAGCTTCTGAAACCTGCCACGGAGATCCTTCAACACACAGCGATGCGGGAAGCCGTAGTGCATAATCTTCACCAGCTCCACAGTTCCACACTGGATTACCTCACATTGGAGCTTGGATGCTTGCAACCCAAAGTTGATCAACTACTTTGAACACAAAGCTGCACAGCGTACCTTGTCTCGGTTGCCCAAAGGACCTGGAACTAAAAGGTTCACCTTTTGGGGCCATGATTAAATATGGACCAACATGGGGAAACCAAAAGGTCAAAAGGTCAAAAGGTTGATTCGCTTTGAACAACTGAGTCATTGTTCAGGAAGAGTTGCTTGGTCCAAGACATACTTGGGCTTGAACAGCCCCGGCTTCCGCTCCTGGTTGGGGTTGAAGCAGCGGATGTAGTGGACAGAGCACTGCTTCAGCGTCTCCAACAAATCGGTCAGATTGCTGAGATACCTCAGCTTTCACCCAACACAAAGGCCTTCAGCTTGGGCCGTCACCGGTCATGTTAACCCCGGATTAAGAAGAACCCCTGTTTCTTCATATGGGTGTGTTCCCCTCCAAAAGTGAGAAATCCCCACTAAAACCACTTGTCAAACGCCTCACTTCCAGCTTGGCAGGCCGGACTTCCCACAAAAAGTCCGGCCGGCAATCCTAAAAATTCCATTGGGAGCCGCCAACGGGGATCCGATCCATTTGGGGAATCTCACGGACAAGAGGGGGGACAGTAGACTAAAACCCCGGGGCCCTTAAGGGTTCCCCTTTTCGGAGAAGCTCACCGGGTGCCTGGTTTTCCATACGTCGCATACGTCCGACCACCTCGCTCCATCTTGCAAACCCCGGCCTGGCCCCTGAACCCCGCCCTCCGCGCCTGCTGCTCACGGAGCAGAGGCGCTCCCCGGAATGGGCGGTGCGGCTGGTGTCCGCCATCTCCTGCAGCAGCGGCGTCTCCGCCTCCGCGAGGACCGTCTCGATCTCCGGCACCAAGGAGTCCTAGGGACGCCCAAGGGACGCGTGAATCGGTTGCCCTCCAAGTGGCGGTCTGGAGCCGAATGGGTGGTTTCGCGGTTTTCTGGAGCCCATCTACCCTCTACAAGGACCAAGGGTTCAATTCGCCCAAGAACCAATTCAAACCAACAACTAAAGGCAACCTGTTCAGAACTGCAGGAGGCAGTGGGCAAAGGGCGGGACGAGAAGCAGAACTGCAGCGCAGTGGCGCAAAAGATCGCAACAAAGTTAGTCATGCAATCAATCGGAGGCCCGATTCCCGAAATACCAAGCTTACCCTGTGATACCCTGTGCTTTTCCAGAGGGCATGGGTCTTTCCAGAGGGCATGTGTCTTTCCAGAGCTAAGGCGCATTGTTCTTGTCGATCCAGCCCTTGGTGGAGTAGGACACCGCCCCAGCGTAGTGGGAGATCTGAAAGCCATCATGGAGCCCAGGTCCGCCATTGCCGCCTTGGGTGACCCAGGGCACGCAGGGCATGCAGGGCATAAGGGCGCCCTACATAGGTGGCCTGTTGGAAAATTAGGTGGGGTTCCCTGGTAAATGGTTTAAAACCCATCCAAACCAGTGGAACCCATCTATTTTTTAAAAGGACACCTATGGCGCCCTACCTCCCGCTTTGCCATGGCACCTGGCAGGGGCTTTCTTGAGGAAATTGATATTTCAGCTGCCCTCCCACGAATGCTATGCTGGTGGGAGGGAGGTCATCGTTCCCCTTGCGCAAGAAAGCTATGCATTGTTCATTCCCGCGCCGGCATACTTTCATCAGCTCGGCCGTTCAACGCGTGGGGATACCACGAAAACACCACAAATGCATGGGAGTTTGCGACGTGTGCAAGCTAAAGAAGGCACGACACCTCAAATGGCGAAAAGCAAGGACACTGGCAGCAACCAGCTCAAGAGGAACCTGATCCCCATTTGTGTTTTCTCCCCCTGCGAAAAATGAGAGAATATGTCTGAAATCGATTCCCTTTCACCCCAACCAGGGAACATAGCAACTCATTTTTTCATTTCAGCCACTGGGAGATGTCTTCCTGAGCTGATTGGCAAAAACAAGTCCATGCTATGGAAAGCCCCAAAAAATTAAAGTCCAGGAACTCAGGGAGTGAGTAAGGGGTCGAACTGTTTCTCCATTCATGGCTCCTGCACCGAAAAAAAAAATCCGGCGCTCCGAAAAAAGTCCGGCACGGCATCTGCGCACGGCGCAGCATCTGCTTGCGCCGGGCTGCGGCTGGCTTTGAGCCTCAAGGCCATGATGGGCCCTCGCTTCCCCACGAGCTTGGAGTGCACGAGCTCGCAGAACTTCTGGTCCTTCTCCTGCGCGCCGAAGCCGTGGGTACCCACCCCATATGCAGCGAGGACTGAAAGACGACCCAAAAAGGACCCACAGAGGGAAGGGGCAACTCATGATGTTGGAAAGGGAAGCGCATGGCCAGCTGGCCCTCCAGCCCCACTGGTATGGCTCAAATTGAACCGCTTCAGAGCTTAGGGGTGAGGAATTCAGGCTGCGGTTACCCTCCCACTAATTAACATGGAACCTGACAGGGACCCGGTCCCTTGAAAAGGATAATGGTCAAAACAAGGACCTCCCTGTCAGGTTCCATGCTAATTGGTGGGAGCGCAAATGTACTAACCCATATAAGAAATATGCCGAGCGCAAACTCGCCAACCCGCTCTCTAGCAATCAGCTCGCATGAATACTCGCCAACGTCCTCTGTTCGAACGAGGTTCTTCACGGCGCGAAGGCTGTGCTCGTCCAAAAGCTTCCTGAGTCAATCCAAGGCGGTATGCGCGTGAGTGGTTGCTGGAACAAGTGCCTTCTGTTTTCTGGTCCTGCTAAAAGCTTTTAGAGGGCTAAATGGAAACTATCACAAAAAGGGGATGGCTGGGAAAAACCAAGTTTTGGCCTCACTTTGCAAGACGTCAGCAAACATATGCCTGCATGCTTGATCGTCTTGAACCATGCGACACATGTGGCTTGTGTTTCTGGTGGACTTCCACCGTTGGCGGTCCAAAAAGAGAAAAAGGAAAGAAGGGCTCGGAAGTTCCCTTTCCGTTTTTTCCTTTTTGTTTTTTCTCCCCTTTTTGTGAAAGTCCCCCGTTGTGCTCCGTCTTTTTTTTCCGGAGGTGCAAGCAAGGTTTTTGTTTCCCGCCCTCGTCGCAAGCGTCAGCAGGGCTTGGATGCCGAAGACCACCGGGGCGGAGTCGGGGAGCTCCATCTCCGTGACGCTCAGCCGCTCCTCCGCGTACATCCGCTGCTCAGCTTCCAGGACCTCCTCCACGAAGAACTGCTGCAGCCGCTCGTTGGCCAGGTTGATGCACAGCCTAGCCACAAAAAACTCGGGGCCAACGGAGGGCCAACGGAGGGGGGGTAGAGTTGCTGTTGGTGTGGCTGTTGTTGATTTTGTCGTCGTTGATGTTGTTGTTGATGATGATGATGATGATATTTGTGCTTGTGGTGGCGGTGATGGTGGCGGCGGTGGAGAATGACAGGCGGGTGCTGGGGAATATTTGGGGTGCTTGGATGGGGCTTGGAAGTGTCGGTCTTTTGATGGTACCCTCCTGTCTGACGTAAATCCTGACTGAGGGCTTCGTGTCCAGTTTTCTATTTAAAATTGGGAGCCCATGTTCGTGAGGACATTGCCCTTTCTGGGGTTGGTTTCATAGGGCTTTCGTTTTGGAGGCTACCATTGAATTGTTGCAAAGGGAACACCGGAAGGAAATAACTCCTTTGTTTTGGGGGGCGGGGGGGCCCTGTTTTTGGGACTAACACAAGTTCACTGACGGAGAAATCCACTTCCCTGTTGGAATAGATAAAGCCCTATTAACTGTCAGGAATTTGTGAATCCACAGTATGTCTGAGGAATTGGGCGACAGGTGATGCGTGCGCGTAAGTTTGACGTCCAAGGAAAAGCTTGTGGACAATCAAAGCACATAAACATAGGTGGTTTAGAAAAATAGATGGGCTTCCCTGGCAAATGGCTTATAAAACCCATCCAAACCAGTGGAACCCATCTATTTATAGCCAAACTCGCTTCACAACCTATGCAGACAAGCAGGGAGCCTTAATCTCCTCCCCCTATTAATGAATGACCCCCATTAATAATAAATGCAAATCCGGGGCCCGAGACCAAATTTCCACTCCGTACAATTGATTTTCAATTGCCCCAATACTAAACCAATACTAAAGTCTTGGAATCCTTATTAGGGGGCACTTTGCATGTCTGGCTGTCTTGAAACCCACACTGCCTTCTCGAGCACTGGACTGTCTCGCAGTCAATCACAAGCTGGCTACCTGACCTGCCTGGCTGCACCCCAAATGTGTTTGTTTTAATTGGGTCCTTTAATTATTGGGGTGTCCCTCAAAAGAAAACATGTCCCCAAAAGCTGTCTTCTAGCTGCGACTGTCTCTCTCCCGTACATGCTGGCTAATTAACCTGCCTGGCTGCAAACAAACAACCAGTAAACTGGTAAACAAATAGAATGATACATCAAATTTCCTTATTGAACCGCTTACTCGCGGACCTTACAATTCAATCCATTTCATCCAAATCCTACGTGAACCCTCACATTGTTGGAAAAGCAAAAAAACCAACCCCAAAAACCCCAATTAAAAAATATATATATATTTGGGGGATTTATTTATAATAGGGGGGGGGGGCCGTATTTATTAATAGGGGGAAGAGATTACATTATACACCTGAACATTGCCTTGTAAATGGTGGTTTCCCTTCATTTTGGTGGAAAAGCCATGTTTCAAATGGGCAAAATGCATCTTTTAAGGAGCCCAGCCAAGGAAAAGCTTACATAAGCAACAAAAATGGTCTAGCAGCTGCTCGAAGCTGTTGTGCTCCAACCTCTCGAAGCCGTAGATGTCCAAAGTTCCAATGTTTTGGTAGTGGGCGTCTGGATTGGCGCCGGCATTCGACACCTCGTTGATCCTGACGCGAAAATCGGCTTGCGCGGCCGCCGTGCTGTGCCCGGAAAGCACGCCTGCTTCTGAGAGCTCCCTTATGATTCTGCCAGCTGAACCGGCACTTGCACTCATTTGAAGCTACACCCCCTCACACAAACGTAACACTCCAAGAAGGCCTCTGCAAACGGAAGAGCCTTCTAAAAAAGCCCGGGGGCTTAAGCGTGTTAGTCTGGGAGAGGAGGGTATGTCCTTGCAACGATCTTCTCAAAGAGGCGCGTGTAGAGAATCTTGATGATGCATTGCAGAGTCTGCCGCGCTTGTGCCAAGGTGCGAGGGCATTTGATGTGGGAGACCCTGCCCTGACGGTTCACATGCATCTCCTCGCAGGTCACACAAGGGTGTGGGGGTTGATCAGAGGGTCCGATATACATAGGATGACCGTTGGGGAAACCCGCTAAGACGATATTTGCCACTAGATGGGAAGAGGTACCATTGGCCATTTGGGGGTGAGGAATATGAATCAACCCCTGTGACCAGAAACCTGCTTTCCTCATTCCAAGCACGTCCTCGCTTGGAAACCCAGGCTTACTGGCTCGAGTGGATTTTTTGCTTTGCCCCCCGTTCTCTGAGGTCCGAGCCGTTGGAAACCTGATCCCACGAGCCTCTTTATCACTCAATGTACCCAGGGGTTAGGAAAGTCCCGCGGCTTGTGGAAAATCCATGCAGTTGAGGTAAGGTGTGTGCCATGAAGGGCGTGGTGACGGCGATGGTGGCGGTGATGATGGCAATTGGAGTTTTTGAAAGGGGCCTAGGGCACCACCTGCATCCTTATACACCTGCAAATGCACTCTCGTAGTTGGGGGGTTAAAACAAGAAACTGTGGCTATGAATAAAGTAGCTTGGTCATTTCGGTGCCATCAATAATTACGACCCCCCCCCCAAAAAAAAAAACGATGCACAATTCGCGAATTCGCCCTCCTTGAACTTCAGGATCTTCGCAATGGACAGCGCGCCCATGCCCAGCAAGTCCGCCGCGGTCTCCAGGGACTCCTCGGTGTCGGGGTGGATCTCCACCTCAGATGCCCAGTGGATTTCCGGCGCCCGTTTTTGTTTGGGTGACTTAGGGGCACCCTGACCCAAAAAGGGAAAGACAACAAGCAACAGAGCACCCAAAGAAAACCCTTACCCAGTGTTACCCCAAAAAGGTGGCTCTGTTGCCCTCACCCTTTTTTACCAAGGGGAACCCAGACCCAAAAAAGGGAAAAAAAAACAACAGAGCACCCGAAAGGTGGCTCTGTTACCCTTACCCAAAAGGGAGCGACAAGGGCTCCCTGTTGTTGGTTGGGTGACTTAGGGGAACCTTTACCCCAAAAAGGAAGAAAGCCAGCAACCCACTGGGCAGCCGAGCCACCGTCGCCGGCTGGGTCCCCACGTCCGCCGTCGCCGCCGCCGCCGTGCCCGAAGCCGAGGCGGCTGAAGCCGAGGCCGCGGCGGCGGAGCAGGGCGAAGCGCAGGGCGAGGGCTCCGAGCTGACCAGGTCCTTCAGGGCTGGTGGCAGTTTTTGGTGGGCCGAGATTAAATTTGGGATTTGTTGTGTTTTTTTGGTTTGTTCGTCTTGGCTAGTAAAAGATGTTTTGTTCTTCGTTTTCTGTTTTTTGTTTTTGGTGTTTAAGCAAAATGCTGTATTTCACAGCATGTTCTCACGAACAAGAATGGCCCGCCTTTTTTCATTGGTTGCTGTTGCCATTACTCTGCAAAGATCTTGTATATTCTTGCGGGACGGAAGAAACCCAAGCTTTTGCTTGGACGGCTGGGCTTTTTGCCAAGTATGGTAGAACCCCCCATAGCTGATATGATTCAACCCCTTCTGCGGCCTAAGTTGAACCGGATGGCTGGGCTTGCCCCACAACGCTGAAGGAGCCTTACCCGCGACATGGACTTTGTTCCAAGCCTCTGGACGGGAGGCCTCGACAAAGTCGACCTCTCCTAAGGGCTCAGCCAGGTGACTGTTCTGACTTCGTAGCCCGAACGGCATGGGCGTGCAAAAGACTCTGTTACTCTGTTGCTCTTCTTTTGCAGCCCCCCCCCAATTAAAAAGGAACAGAAACAAACACATCCAACAACCTAAGCACTTGCTCAACAGGCGGCTCAGGCCTCAGCAGTTTGGCTGGGCAGCCTTGCTTCACAGGTGGGAGGCGCTACAAGGCATCGCATCCTATCGGCTTTGGTGGCAATTGAGAGTTGGTTTCTTGGTGTTGGACTAGCTGAGGTCTCAACGAGGGCGGGTCTTGCTTGTTTGTTCTTTTCTTTTTGAGGGGGGGGTTCGTTTAGACCTGCCAAAAACCGCCTTCTGAAAGCACCTCAATGGGGCTGTTGTTCTCTTCATGTTTTGGGGTACCCCCCCCCCCAAAAGAGCTGTGGTTTCACTTCAAACCCACTGCAAAACCACTCACTTCACCGGCGTTTTTATTTTTGTTCCCCCCATGTTCACCGGATCTGGCGGATTCTTTCTGGCCAAGGCTCCGAGGTGAATCAAGGCGCCAAGCACCTGCCAAATGGTGGTGTCCGTCTCATCATCGATGAAGATGCTCAACGCCTGCTTCAGCTCTTTGAATTGCTTCCCCAGCCTGTAGGGGCAAGCGCTGGCCGCTTGCCAGCGTGCAAGCCCCCGTTTTTGGGACGGGGAAAACTTCCATTTGGCTTTCTGACCCCTGGAAAAAACATTTAAAAAAATAAAAATCCAGTAGCGATAAACTCCTTTTAAAACCAACAGGGACGATAAAACATATTCTTAAGCAAATGGAAGAAAATGGGCTGTTCAAAAGAGTTGTTGCCAATCCCGATCCACAACTTGGAAGGATTGCGGATTGCCGAACTGAGCCTGGCAAACGGTTGCATCGCAAGTAATTAACCGCCCGGCAAAAGGAGTCGTTGCCTTTCAACAAGAATGGTCGCTGCCCATGGCTTTCAACACATGAACCACAATCAAAACCCAGCAGTAACATGGTGAACCCAGAACCATGTAAAGAAGTAAGAAGGCGGATACCCGCAGCTATTTATGGCTGGGATTGGCCCTTGCTCACCTTCATCTACCCGAATTGGTTTTGAGCACGTGGCTCTCTCATGCCTCTGAGACTCTACGGACTTCTCCTGGAGCGGCTTGGTGCCACTGGAGTGGAGGAGCTTGTAGCTGGACTGCCGGTCCAAGCACAAGGAGTCCAGGTCCTCTTCCTCACGGCTTCTCACGGCTGGAAGTGGAATCCACGAAGCTGATGCAACGAGAAGGGCCTGCCCTCTAAGGGTTTTTGTATTACACCCTGGGAATACACGCACTGGGTATTGACCCCATTTAGGCACATTTCCGGATAAAACCGTGTTATTTTGAACCATTCTGGGTCACTTCCCAAGGGTGTAATCCCAGGGTGTAATACAACAATCCTCAGATGACCCCATAGACTAACCCTCCATAAGGGGGACCTTCAAAATGATGGATGTCACCCCCAATTAAAGGGACAAAGATTCCCTTAAGGGCTTCAGAAACTAACGGGACGCAGATTCCCTTTAAGAGAAACCATGGGCAACCGTTGTTTGCTGCCATTTACAAGGAAATCGGTGGTGCGAAATGGATTTCGTCCATCCACAGTATCACAGTGGGGATAAGCCCTAGACGATCCGGATCCAGGTTTGCTCCTCCATGCCCGCCAACAGCTCATAGAAGACGTGGTAGTTCTTCTCTCCCTTCTGCTGGAAGACCACCCGCGAGCTTTCGAGGAGGAAAGTTCGGATGCCCGCACCAACCAGGGAACCAACCGGGTTGAACATCATCTCGTTATATTTCCCGAAGCGGGAAGAGTTGAGGTTCATGACAGTCCTTGGTTGATGTTGACCCGTCTACAAAGTCAATCACTGTCCGTGGTTCAAAGCAAAAGCCTTGATGTCCCGAAAAGTCAAAGTCTAAAGATCCAACCCAATAGCAATCAAGAGTCGTCGCATTGCCGAACGACTCCAAAATAGGATTTGCCGCAATGATCTTTTCTTGAATCCGGGTGCCCTGGGCAGCATCTGTCCTCAGGGGCAGATGGGTCAAACCAGGGTGACAGCATGTGAAGCTCTGTGCCCGCACGATCTTCATGCAAATGTGGTATGTCTCCAAAAGAGGGAACCCCAAAATTGGCGGTTTGGTCTGGGTTTTCCATGTGTAAGGGTGGCAGCCAGCCCCAGGCCCTTTGCACATCTGTTTTGCAATGCTCTGCTTCCCAAAACAACACCTTTAACATGCTTCAAGTAGACTTGACCTCAGTCATGAAAGAACGCCGCCTTGACTGCATGATCTGTCATCACTTGCCCGAGCCTGGACATGGAGGTCAAGTAGCGCATGGTAATCTTGGCCGTCTCTGTCTTGCCAGCGCCGCTTTCACCACTGATCACAAGCGCCTGCATTCATTCCGAGGAGACCCTGGCTGAATGTTCATGAAAGCTTTGCGGGTGCCGAACAAAGGGCAACCCCAAACTTGTGCTCCTTTGCAGCAAGCCCCTCAAACAAAAACAAGCCCCATGTCTTGCCTGGTTCTTGCGATCCCTGAGCAACTGCCGGTAGGCCACATCTGCAGTGGCGTAGGGGTGAGGGGGCAACGTGCCGGGGTTCTTTCCCCAATACCTGCTCATGACCTGGCGCGCGTTCGGTCACATAAGTCTCATCAAGGCACTTGCGCATTGGTCACCTGCTAAAATCCCTCGCTCAGTTATGGGCCTGCCTCCTTGGTGTAGAGTTGGGGCAATTCCTTGTAGGGGTTCACGGCCAGCAGCACGTTGGCGGTGTAAGTGTAGATTTCATCCTTCACATACCTTTTGCCTTGGCTGCTTGGCTGCTTGGCTGCTGCCGCAAATCAACGTCACTGGATGATCGGCAGGGTCAGCATGTGCCAGCTCGGATTGGTAAAACAGCCCCGAAACATCACCAAAACCCTACATGCATCCCAGGTGGCGCAAGTTGTCCAGAATATTGGCATCATCCAGGTGCACCATCTCCGTGTTGTCCTGGAAGGTCCGCGTCTCTCCGACGTCATAGAATGGTCGCACCTCGCTCTTGCGAACTGCGTGTTGGCTACCAGAGTTGTCGCCCACGTAGATAGAGTCGGTCTGCTGATCAATGCTCACAACTCTGGATCGACGATAGCCTGAGGCGCAAAAGCAGGAGTACGGTTTCGCCCTGTTGAGCTCTGCAAGACTTCACCGGCAACATTGGTCTCAACGGCAATGATGAGAATCACAAACACCTTCCTTTGCTCATAGTGATCCTGCATCCCCAACCATAAGGGGGAGGGGGTGCAACTCCATGTTCTAGTCTTCCGCATAAAGGGACAATGGGTTACCACAAATGGAGATCTCCAATGTTCGAAATCTCTCCCCTCCCCCAATTAACCATTTTGAAAGGAGGTGGATCATAGTCCTTGGTTGACGTTGGAAGGGGAGCAACAATTCAAATTTTAGCAGTTAAGTGGTTGGATTTCAACAACTAAGCCACAACAAGCAAAAACGATCTGAGCCGAGGCGCCCAAGTTGGCGCAGGGCGACCACACGATGTCGTCGATCTCGAAGTGGGAGTCTCGAGGGGATTGGCTCCCGGCACTGGGTCGGTCCATGACGACAGCGGAAATGTTCGGCACGGCTTGAGCTGAGCTGCTGCAACGCAACGCCAACGGGCAACGAGCCTTGAGATGCCACTAAAGGGTGGCTTGCCCGTGGCCTGAGGCATCAAACTGCTTGAAAGCAACTTCGCACATGTCTCGAGAGTTCGAAAGAATGACCTGTCAAGCAAGAACTGGGTTGCTGTATCTTGTGTCAGCTCCAGGCGAAAACATGCGAAAACATCAACATTTATGCTGACCCAAACTTGCTGCTGCTGCCTTTGCCTACAGGAGAGAGAGAGAGAGAGAGGACAAAGCACTACAAACACATTCTGACTGACCGCGATCGTTCTGCACATCTGATGTTAAACAATGCCTCTCCTTTGGAAACAAACATTGACATCCTTGCCTGCGATATGGGCATTTCTGAGTCAAACTGGTGAGCCTCCGGAAAGGCAGCGTTGTCTTCTGGTGTCCCTGTAAAACCACCAAAAGGGGTTCTTGAATTTCTCTCACGTTCCTCTAAAAATATGAAGGGCCTCCTCCAATTGCTCAAGTCCCTGGGAATAAACATGCAAACACAATGCAGTTGTGAAATCGATTCCCTTCAGAACAACAGGAACATAAAGAAAGTATATGCTTTTCAACAAATAGAAAGTTCCATGTATAGTTCTGCAGCCTGGGGTTCAAACCACCATTCAAACAATGGGGGGTTCATATTTGTCCCTATTGTTTACCCAAGGACTGTCATCCAAATTGGGTCTTTGCCTTTCTCTTTCGGGGGGCCAACAAACCCTGGTTGCTTTTTGCTCCCCTGCTAAAAGTCTAACTCTTAGTTGCTTAATACGGAAAACCCGTGAGTTGGCAAAAAATATATTTGGCAAAATGCACCAAAGGGTTAACCCCTCGAAAGAGCGGCGAAGCGGCAAGCCGCGGCGGCTCCCATGGCGTTCGCCTCCAGCTTCGCCTTCCAGCGGCGCAAGAGGTAGCGGCCCACCAGGCCAGCGCCCCCCACCTGGCGGCTCGGCGGCGCGTTCGCGCCGCCGAGCCCGTGGAGCCCGGGCGGCCATAGGTCTCCAGAAAAAACCAAAGATCCACGGGAGACTAAAAGGGTTTTTTGAGAGAGTACTGAAAAAAGGACCAGGGAGAAAGAGCAGGTGAAATCCACACCGCTTTTCCCTAGAAATTGTATCAAACATAGAGGCAAAACACCCCATGTTTCCTATTAGAGTGGCAACTGGAAGCACCGGGTGAGACAGAACCAATTCCTGGCATAGGAGTTGTGTAGGGAGGTTTCACGGATTCTCGCAACCTCGGAGGGACTTCCTGGCAAGAGCCAAACACGAATCAAAAGGGCGGCAACAGCTCTTTATGCTTGGGCTGTTCCGCACTATGTTTCTGCGAATTCTAGCACGGCGACTCGGCATAAAACATTATGTTTCTTCTGGCTTGGAAACGTTTCCATTTGAACCTCCTACTAAAATTACAATTCAATATCTGCCTCAGAAGCTTCTCCTGTTGAATTTCAAGTTCGGGCGTGTTTTATTCTCTAAGACTTAAGAGAATTCATGTTGACATGGGTTCTGCCAATTCTGGCGCGCGAACTTTCCCTTTTAGCAAACATTTTTTATAGACTACGCATTGAAGCTTGTTCTTCGGTTTTGGCTCCAGAGCGTTCCCTTTTTCATGTCCCATCAAAAAATGATGTGTCATTTATACTATGTCCGCGCACATTCTGGCTTGGGAATGCACAGGGCTATCTGTTGAATTTTTATTCGGTTCTTCCGACGCTGGCTCGGGAAGTTGCTAAAGACACTTTGTCACCTCCCCTCCCAGGGACGAAATGTGTATGGAATGGTCGATGCGCTGGACAAAGTATGTTGAACACACAAGCTGAACACTAATATTCTATCTGACTGGTTGTCAGTAACTTGATATACATGCATTCTTAGAGGCACTTGCCTC